AAGAACGGGGCGGACGCTATTACCAGCCATTCAAAATAATCTGACAGACAGTGGGTAGGACTGATGTGACACCTGGCCTGTGTGGCCCGTTAGCCTTTGTTGCGTCACTTGGTACCGGCAGACGTCACGATCAGGCCTTTTCCCGTGACGACTGCTTGCACGGGTAGGCCTGCCGAGCGGGCTGAGTATGCGCGCGTACGGAGGGCGCGGCGCGCTCGACAGGCGGGCGCGGCGGCGCATGCAGATTCCGGGTCGTGGACAACGTCGTGGCTGTCCTATACTTAGTTGGTTGTTCAGCCGCCACGTACCCTCGTCAGCCAACAGGGGTGAACGGCAGGTTAAGCGGTAACGGGCATAAACGCTGTAGTAGTGAACGATGCTGCGACGGACATTGCTTCGGTCGTCCGCCCGCGCGGGCAGGCGCCGCCGCTCCGCCATGGGCGCCGTTCTGTGTTGTATGTGGCACTGCTAGCGACCCGGGCCCCATGGAGATACTTTGTCTAGGATCCGACCCTGCCGCACCAGCACTGAGAGACGCCTGGACTCTGTGACGCTCGTACCTGGCAGAAACTTTGTGATCCAGGCTCTGAGCCCACTCGTGTGTCACCGATCACACCCGTGTTTAGATCTTGGGTCTTTGTTAACGCTAGAGTTGCAACGCAGATGGAAGGATTTTAGTCATCGGCCACCGTCCTGGCATCTTAAGTTATCAGAGAAACAAGCTGAGCTACCACGTTAGCAGCAGCTTCGGCTCGCCAGCCCATTCTGGGACGCTCTTCCCTGCTCTGTCCCGGCCGCTGTGGCGCACGCGCAACCCCAGCTCGCCTTTTAACAGGTGGAAGCCTGGCTGTATTCCCGTGCTTTCTCTCAGTCGCGTTTACAGTCAGCGGGTCTGTTTGTTTTGGAGAGAACTTCACACGTTTGATAAGAGTCCCGCCCTGAACACATCTACATGACAATATTCAGACATAGTGATAGCGCCACCTACTGGCAACAGGAAGTAAGCGCTGCATGGCGATTTTGAGCTGATTTTCATGTTGTGGTCCATACTTGTAACGACGGCACGTGACGCTGCCGCAGCACGCCCCGGGTTGCACAGAGTGCGAGGTCCCGCCCAACGCTGCTTGCAGCTTTAATTACATTTAATATTGTCAGATTGTTATTCAGTGTTTTAAGGTTATTATGTATTTTCTTTCATTCAATAGTTTCAGGTCTTCACTTAATATTCTCATATTTTTCAGTATTCTCAGGATGCATCATTGAAATGTTGAGTTCATTCAGAATTTCAGTACAGGTCTATGGGCATTATGGATAATATACCTGTATAGCAATAGGTATGAGTCCTTCATCTGGGTGTTGGTACAGGAGACAGAGCGGAGCAGCAATGTACTGAGGTTTACCCTTGATTGTATTGGTGGGAATCCCATCCATGATGGCGTAGTCTAACAAATAGATATTCCCTGCCTGGACAGGAGAGAAGCAGAAAATGAAGAAGAATGAGGACATGGAAGGAGCAGAGAGTACGACATTTATTTTGAGAGAAGCCAAAATTTGTGGCGTCAAATTAAAGTCTGGAGATTGTACAGACAGATTTAGAGCATTTCTCCACCTTGAGTTCTTTGTCCAGGTTAGTCCTGGGAGCCATGGAGCTCTGCACCATGTCTGAGGTGACAGGGAAGTTTTCTGGCAGCTTGTTGCAGCTCTTGATCATCCTTGGGTTGGAGCCATTCATACACTGGTAGCCAAAGAACCAGTCTTCCTTCCAATGCTCCATACAGTACTCTGAGTCAAACACACACATACGAGTAAGCGACTCGTCACCAAATTTGGTTCAGAACATCTCAGGATGAAGCAAGAAAAAGTGACTTTTATTAGATTTTTTATATTCCATACAGTTTTACTATAGCTGGCCCTCAGTTTGCTGAGGCAGGGCTTATATAACAAACAAATGATAATAGCTTTGTGCTATTGCAAACACATTTGGTGGACATATGTGGAGATATGATGTCTGAGTGCCCATGGCACACTTGGTATTGGCCAACAGGTGGCACTGTAGCAGCATCATCTAACTATAAATACGAATCTCTGTGTATACTGTATATATCTGTGTATGCATATCTCATTACTCTTCCACTATACTGAGGAACAGAGGCAATGAGTGAATGTGCTACGGAGGTCACTGCTACATAATCCAGCACTCCTATGACATGTTTTGGACAAGACCTGGTCGGACTTATAGTTGGTGGGACAGCTTTGAGAACAAAATGGTTGTTGCTGAAGAATGGCAAGTGTGTTTATTTTTCAAGCTTTTTTTCAGGCTTCTGATTAGCCAGCACAGCCTTAGAGCAAGGGTTTTATCGCCAGCTGTTGATCCGACATGCTCTTGATAAGGCTTTATTGTGTTCATTGTGTGGCATTTTTATTTGAACATCAAAACCACATGGGAGGTGTATAGTAATTGTCCAAAGCTAACAAAGTAGTTATTATCTACAAAATAGTTATTAATACTAGTGCAGTGCCCATAAGGGGGTGTAGCTGTTTGGATTGTGTGCCAGTTTGAATACAGGTATTTTGAGACTTAAAGCTGCAGCCACAGTCTTTAGACTGACATTTACATTGTATGGCTAAAGCTATTTGTATAATATTGTATGGGGTATGAGAAATGTACCTATTATAAAGGTCCCACACATGGGCTTTGCAGAATGCCTTAACCGCACCTCCCAAAATCAAGACACGTAAGATATGTATGAAAATTGGTTTGCCTGTGTATCCTGAACAGACAAACAAGAAGTCTCGGACTTTTCTCCAATTTCTTATATATATTGTTAATAGTCACTTATCTTAAGATTCTATAGAAAATATTATATTGAATATTGTTTATTTATACCTCACTCTGTTCTACATAGATCTACTAATACTTAGACTGACAGATTTTAAAGGAGGGAGCATTGTACTGGGAGCATGGGGGTGTCTGCTTTGACTGTGGCAAAGGCAAATGGTTTACATGGCTTACGGGTCAGGTAGAAGGGAGGTTAGGACTGGCTCTGCAAAAGCAAATCATAATCCACAAAAAAAAGGTCTATGAATGAATTTCATTATGTCAGGCTTCATCAAAGAATATAGTGTTTGAACATGGCATGTGATGAATAGTGCTATCTTGAATGCCAGTGTGGCAACACTGACAAAAAGAGCATTTGTGGGAGGGGTGTGAAACCCAACAGGAAGTCAGCCAGTTTGAATTTAGTAGTCATTTTTTGCGATTTACACACATTATAATTTAACAAACTCCTCCTAGGGAATTGACGTCAAATTTGATCAGTGGAATTTAAAGTGAGTTTTCATTGATTGGTGTGCCCGTGGCATGGCAAGTTTTGCTGTGAAGCAGGACCCTGTTATAACTTGTGTGAACATATTGTGTTTGTATTTACCCACCAGCTATGGGGCTTCGCAGCTTCCAGAAGATCCGTTTAAAATCGTCCAGGTCACTCCAGGACTTCCCAAACCTGATGGCTAGCTTCTTCAGAGACAACTCCAGCAAGCTGATGAAAAGGAAGGGTGCATGTGTACTTTGGGCCCTAAAAGCCAACCTCCACACGTTTATCCATCTATTTTAGTTTTAAGACTATGGTTGGGTATCAAGAAGCAATTTCAATTTGAATGTGTGAGTGTATGTGTTTGTGCGCGCACACCACTTACGCATAGTGTAATGAATGTTCAAAGTCACTCCTCTTCTCATTGTCAAAGCGCACGTCTTGGGGTAAATCTGCTTCTGTTTTAGCGTCGATACATCTGGGAATCCCTGGAGCCCACGTTACCCACCTGTAACACATATTATGAATATAAAAATATTCATACATAGAAATTTTTAACACAACCATTCTGATAAGTGAAGCTGTATCTTTGTGTTGTTGTGTGTATTGGACCTGTAAGCCATCCGTCTCTCCTGAAGTTCTGTCTTCCTGTGTGCCAGCAGCTGAAGTAAGGAGTCATCCCTCAGTGTCTTCGCTACGCAGGAAGGTAGAGGAGAGAGACAGGAAAATGTGCCTTTAACAGTTCACACACCCCAAGGTTTTGGGGAAGTGGGCTCACAGAGTAACCCACAAATTTAGAGTGTTGTGGGTGCTTAAGGGAAAATGGGGGCTTTTGGGTAAAGATACAAGCCCTATTTATAAAGTGATCTGTATGCAGATAATGATCCCACCCACAAGTGTTATCTCTATTTTGCTCACATTGTGATTGATTTTGACCATCCACTGTTTAGATCTTGGTGCTTTTTAACATTTGATGTGAGAGACTCCCTAGTTACCTATTGTATGTCAGGTGTATCTTGAGATAGCAAGAAGAGGTGAAGTGACCTTTAACTTGCTGTGTGGATTTTTGTCTTGTGACTGCATTTACACCAAGTAAGACCACCTCCAGATCTGGTGTGGCCAATCTGATCGCATTCAGGTCATACTGCTTTCTCCTGCATTTGCACCTACACAAACTTGTAGTTTCCAGATGCTCATGCAAATTACATGTTACGTGCCAGGTATGAATAAGTAACAGAGGAGGAAATGGGCAGTGTTAAGCTCTGAAGTTCCTGATTGTCCGTTCAGTATCCTACAAGATTATAAAACAGCTGAAAGTCCACACAGCAGGTTTTGAATGTCACTGGCCTTGTGCCAGCATGAAAATAGAACCCAATGCTTGATACCTGGAATTTAAATGGCATCCTGTTTTCCATTGATGCAGATGCCGCTCATAACTGATAACCGGTCTGCCCCTGATCAGCTCCACTGGATCAGTTTGGAGTTGGCTGTCTTGGGTTAGTGTTAGGGTTAGGAACCATGACTGTACCTCTACAGCTTAGTAAATAGTATTAGGAATTGATTCTGCATGCCCAGAATCTTACCTGTTCCCTCTCTTATCTCCACCTTTACGTCTCCAATAAGCCAGCGGTAACAGGGGAAAGTCAGCACTTTGTCCTCAGCTGGAGGCTCCACTGTGACATAGCGACAGAACCAGTTATCTTCCACCCAGTACTTCTGTTTCTCCAGTCTGACCAGGAGCAGGGAGCCTAACGGTGAAGGACTGGTCACCTTGTACTGATCCACCTGATGGAGATCGAGGGATGGAGAAAATGAGAAAAAATCATTGCAAGCTTTAAAAGCAGTCATGCAAATATAAGACAAATATTACTGCATTTATACAGCTGGACTCACAAGACTACAAGATCATGTGAGAATCAATCTTGCATGACTTTAATCAACCACTACAGTGGTACCGGACTAATCAGGTAGCTACTAGATGATCAGTCCACACAGCAGCATTTGAATGTCACAGGCCTTGTGCCAGCATGAAAATAGAACCCAATGCTTGATATCTGGATATTCAGAAGAATTTAAATGCTATCCTGTTTTCCATTGATGCAGATGCTGCTCAGGATAACTAGTCTGCCACCGACCAGCTCCACTGCATCAGTTTGGAGTTGGTTGGACCATGAAAGTACCTTTACAGCTTACCATTCAGATTCAGAGGTAAAAGGCATTTCATGCCTGCATACCCCTTCAGATGTGATATTCAAGATTAAACAAACAGTGAATTTTATTGCTTCATTCAGTCAGGTCAAAGGTTGGCTGTCAAACTATGTAGTTGTGTACACACGGTAAATGATCACATCATCATTTCACACACACTTACTGCTCCTCGACAGAAGTCCAGTCCAGGGTTGTCCAGCAGGGTGCGCTCACTCTCGCCTTTCTCTCCCACCAGGGTCACAAAGATGTAGTTGTTGGTGCCTGAATACTCTGATGTACCAGTTGCTACTGTTACAGTGTAGACTTCCATCTAAGGATATAAACACACACAGCATGCTGATAACAACCAAGGATTCAACTGAAAACAAGGGTGCTTGAAGGCAGTTGTTCGTAGAGAGAGGCTGTTGATAGGTAACATTTTGTTGCATATAAGTTTTCCCTGATCAGCACATCAGATCACAATTTTAAAGCCTATGTTTTACATTCTGTTATACTGTGGGGCCTGTCTCACAAAGGGAGCCCAACATACACTGTATCCAGGGGCCCCAACTGACCATTCCTAAGTCAAGCCACTTTCTGCTCTGTGCTCCAATAACAGAATTTTTTCCCCCCCAGGCTAGTACTCATTGCCTTCATTGGTTTCGTTGGTTAGGTTTAGGCATGAGCAGTGAGGTTGGTTAGGGTTTTAGTAAAAATTTCATGGTTAGCCATCAGAGGGTGGGTCATGACTTTGTCATCCTGGAGGGAACAAATTTATTTAGGTATGCTGTTCTAGGCTTGTCTATGGTGAAAAATGTTTTAGTTAGTTAGTTAGTAGTTTTTAGTTCTTCTACATCAAGCATTAACTAGCTAGTTACCTAGCATTCTGATAACATTAGATGTTACAAGTTAATGATCGATGACAGCAGCTGCGGCTGTGGCTCAGAGGCAGAGCGGGTCGTCCCCCAATCGGAAGGTTGTCGGTTCAATCCCCGGCTCCTCCTGCCA